ATTCCCTACTTTCCCAACCAAAATAATATAATCTATACTTAAATACTAATTTCTTTTGAATATTTATCAAGAAGAAATGCCACTGGTCATCTGATGTGCTTTCTAAATTTTGAAAGTGGAGATAAGGTAGATGGTGGCCCATAATTTTACATATTTTAGTATACAAATGGAAAGAAAGATAAAGGAATGATTTCTAGTTGTAACTAAAGGTTTGCATCATTTATAACTAAGACAAGGTATCTACTGCCGAAAAAGATATTTAGAACTAACATAATTCATGTTCAAGTAGCACATGACCTAAAATGACAGCTCCAATTCCATGGAACCAATATGGAGTTACAAGTTTTAAGTTTCTGAACAAGCTACTGAAACACAGAAAAAGGCTTCATGTCATATTTATTGGGAAAAGAAAGAAAATTGAAATAAAGATTTGGCATGGAAGAAAGCTAAAAAGAAAAGCTCAAGGAATAGCTCGTAAAGAGTTCGCCAATGCCCCAAGATAGCATAATGTAGAAATGTCACAGGAAACTAAAGCCCATACATCCATGTGTTATAATTGCTTACTGAAGCTTCTAGACTACAGCAGATGCTTATTTTTTCTTACATACCATATTTTTTAGAAAAAAAAAGTAAACAAAGTGGATACCCAACCTAGAAGAAAGTTAAAGAGAATAGCAGAGAAATACCCCAATATGAGTAGCATGTAAAACAGGATTCCATAATGTAGGCATGCTAAAGACCAAGACTATTTACACATAAAAAGAAAGAAAAATTGAGAAAAAAAACACTGTTTAAATGAAGTACCAGATATGGTCACATACCACCAATTCCTGAAGCAAGGTCCGAAGCATGTTCTCTAGCAATTGATTTTCATCCTGAGCTAATTTTGTTTGTTTCTGTGGAAAATAAAAAAAAAAAACGAATTCACCAACTAAGAAATGCCCAATAACCTAATTCCTGAAAATTATGCATGCCAACCACAAAAGAGAAAAAAATAGAGACAAAAGAACAACATCATCAGCAACATATGTGCTTTATCTGCAATGTCACTCACTCCATGCCATCAGGACTCAGCCTGAGGATCAGTTACAGGCAACATTCAAAACTTTATGAAACATCTAGACACCAAACCTCTCTAAAACTCACCGAAGATTTGCTTACCACTGAACTTGGTTGTTGCATGCAAGAGAAGTTAACAATTTATAGATGTTAACAAACTGTGAAGCATATAATCACAAAGAGAATCCCGATAAGTCATGAGTCTAATATTTTTCCTGATTCATAGCTTCAAATCTCTTCTGAAAAGAAGATCCCCTTCAAATCTCTTCCAAAAAGAAGATCCCAACTCTCACCTCCTCTACCCACCGCAAGTTTTTCTTTCATAAATCATTATGTACAAATGTGAAATATAGTGTCAAACATAAGACACGCTAATGTACATATACAAATATGAAATTTTCCAAAGCCATAATAACAAATGCACAAACCAAAGAATTCCAAGGAAGCTTCATACATAGCAATGGTGTTGAAAAAGCAAATGAACTTCATTAAATTCATCAACCTTCTGATATCAAAAGATAAGGATTCGAAATACCTGAGGTTTTATAACCTCTTGAACTGTCTTGAGAGCAAAAGTTTCCGGCGGGCCAGGCTGCAATATGGCCCTCCTAAATGCTTCCTAACAATCATAATAATAACAAAAACAACCATAAAAAACAAAGCTCATTTATCACATATAATTACAAAACTAGAAATTCAAGAGAAAAAATGAAGTAAAGGCATAAACTAAACCAAGAAACAAGAGGTACCACTTACCATCATATGGAAGACTCAGCAACAAATTCCTATTTCCTAGCAAGAGCAATCTGGAAATCTGAATATCATATATAATAATGAATAACAAGTATATAAAAACTATACCCATTTGTCGATTTTGTTGAGAAAATTTAAGCTCCGGAGTTGAGAGAAGAAAAGCTTACCTCGGGCGGTGGGGGTGTTTCGTTGGGGGGCGACTCAGTGGAGGCGTGAAAGTGCTTTGAGGTTTTGAATCCGACCCGATACAACTACAGGAGTCGACCCAGTTGTCAAGCACCTGACAACGATAGACCCGTTGTTTTTGAAAGCGGAACAGCTGGAAGGATCAAGCCGGAGTCCAACCGATTGAATTATCCATTGGATGAAGCCTGACCCAAGTTTTATGGATCAGGCCATGCCCAGGCAGTAATATGAAAAGCCTCACCCAATATGAAACTAGCCCTGCCCTTTCCATCGGCCCTTGCCAAGACGAGCACCATCTGCTTGATCTTCACAATGAAATTGGAACTGTTAGTTCATGCAGGCAAATTCTTTAATAACGTCATTTTTTTTTACCTTATTGTAAAGTTAAATAATAAAAACCATTTAATTTATAAGATTAAATTGCAACCATAGATTTAAAGTCAATAAAGAAACTTATTGACACATTCAACCAGTTCATAAAAAGTAAAATTAAAAAATATTTTTAATTAATAGCTGCAATTTAATCTTATAAATAGGATTGTTATTATAATAAATCAAATGGTCAAAATTAAAAATGTATAATAACAAAAATGAAAATACATGTAATTTAGAGTTGTCATGGAAAAGCTTTAATTTAAAGTTGTTAAAAGCTACCTATGAAAATCTTAATGTAAAGTTGTAAAAAATAACGTAAAATTTATAAAGATAGTATAAGCAAATTTAAAATCTTAATGTAAATATGTAAGAATTACCATAACAAGTGAATTAAATAAAAAAATTATTTTAATTAAAAAAATTATTTAAATTTATATTTTTCGGTTAAAAGTATTTAACTATATCTAAATTTTAATTTTAAAATAAAAATAATAAAGATAAAAACAATTATAATTAAAAGTTACCATTAAAAAGCCTTAACGTAAAACTGTAAGAGTTAATGTAAAAACTCATAAAAGTGAAACAAACAAATTTAAAATCTTATGTGTGAGAGTTAACGTAATAAGTCAATTAAGTCAAAAAATTTTAATTTTAATGAAAATAAACTATTTAAATTTATATTCTTTGGCTAAAAGTATTTAACAATATACAAATTTTAATTTTAAAATAAAAAAATAAGAAAAAAATAAATCTAGTTAAAAGTTACTATTGAAAAGTCTTAACATAAAGTTGAAAGAATTGACGTAAAAATATATAAAAGTAGAACAAGCAAATTGAAAATCCTAACATAAATATGTAAGAGTTATTATAACAAGTCAATTAAGTTAAAAAAATTAACTTTAATAAAAAACAAACATTTAAATTTATATTTTCAAGTTAAAAGTATTTAATGATATATAAATTTTAATTTTAAAATAAAGAATAATAAGGAAAAAATAATTATAGTTCATGTAATTTAAAGTTGCCGTTGAAAACCCTTAATCTAATTTTTTTAAAAGTTAGTATTGAAAAGTTTTGAGGTAAAGTTGTAAAAATTAAAGTAAAAACTTATAAAAGTGGAATAAGAAAAATTAAAATTTTAACATAAATATGTGAGAGTTAACACAACAAGTCAATTAAGTAAAAAAATTTAATTTTAAAGAAAAAATATTTAAATTTATACTCTCATATTAAAGTATTTAACGATAAATAAATTTTAATTTTAAATTAAAAAATAATTAAGATAAAAATAATCATGGTTAAAAGTTACAATTGAAAAGTCTTCACATAAAATTGTAAGAATTGACATAAAAATTTATAAAAGTTGAATAAGTAAATTTAAAATTTTAACATAAATATGTGAGAATTAATGTAATAAATCAATTAAGTAAAAGAAATATAATTTTAATAAAAAATAAAAATTTAAATTTATATTCTCAAGTTTAAGGTATTTAACAGATGATAAATTTTAATCTATAAATAAATAATAGTACAAAAAATTATGATAAAAATTTACAATTGAAAAACCTTGATGTAAATATGTAAGAATTAATATAAAAAATTTTAAAGTTGGAACAATTATTGTCAAAATATTGACGTAAATATATATGAAATTTAAGGTAACAAGTCATAATAATCTTAATTGAATTAAATTAGTTAAATATAATGTTAATATTGAATATTAAGAACAATATTCTTATATTTTAAAATTAAAAATAAAATTAAATAACATTTAAAATAAAATAGATAAATTTAAACATTAGCTACCTTGTTAACTTAAAATAGATAAATTTAAAAGTTTTGTATGTTGTTTACTTATTAATCTATTATACAGTTTTTTTTAAAAAAAATTAACTTAATTAATCTTATAATAAGATTGGATTTACTGTAAAGGCCATCGTAAGGATGTAATGTAAGTAAGGTATCCTGTTTTCCATTTTCCTTTTCTTTATCCTCATCGTTTTTGCATGGGTATCTGCCAATTAACATTGACAAATCACTGTAAATAGGTTTACAAAGCATTGTAAGAACAAAGATGTGTTTTAATTATTCGAATGGTACTATGTCCCTGATCAATAGGTTGAAAGCTCTTCTCAAGACCAGGAAGAAGCACCCAGGACAGGAGTCCTCCTAATGGTCAAGTGGAAGAAATTAAGCAAAGATAACAATATTAACACTAGCTCTGTTGCTCAACCTGTCTTTGGGTTATTGAATCTAAGCATTAATTGGTAGTTTTTTTGCTAGAGATGATGATCTTCATGCAAGACATATATAATCATCTCCAGGTGTGGATTGTGATTGTGTATAGCAAGTCAATCAACCTGTTTATTAGATTTCGTGTGGCATATGCATGCACCCTTAGTGGTTGTAATTTTTATTTATACTTAGAACTCCTATAGGAAAAAGATTCCTTTTGTAAGGCAATAAAAGAGTTTAAAAAAAAAAACAAAAACAAAAACAAATTGCCCTGGCTTTGTTTTCTTTCTCTTTCCAATTCCTGATAGGAAAACGAGACATCAACCTACTTACTCTTATGTATACATAAAGCAAAGGTGTTGAGGACGTTAAACCCATACTAGATATTCATAATGGAGGTTGATCCCGTGACTGTTGAAGATGTTTCTGCCAATCTTGAGCCGGTTTTGAGCTTCAAAGAAGGAGGGGTCCGTGAACTCATCCAGCGACTCCAATGCTCCTCCAAACGTGGACATGGAGTCTTACCCGAGAATACCCTAGTTTTGGAGAGATCATGCGAGCATCCCGCTGTTGTCAATGGAGTTTGTAATGATTGCTGTCAAAAGATTGAAGAAGATGGCAATTACGGCCTGGATTTCAGCTACTTACACATGGGGTTGAGGCTTAGCCGTAGCGAAATCGATCGCTTGCGTTGCCTGGAGACTGAGAGATTGTTTTCTCAGAGAAAGCTTCACCTTGTTTTGGATATTGATAACACCTTGATTCATTCCTTTCGATCGGATGCCTTTTCAAAACTTGGTGTCCCCAAAGATGATATGCAGGAAGTTGATGGGATCTTCGTGAAGTTGAGACCCCTTGTTTCTGCCTTTTTAGAGAGGGCCAGCACCATGTTTGAGATGCACCTCTACACCCTGGGCTCTCGCTCATATGCGAAGAAGATGGCTAAAATCCTTGATCCCCAAGACAAGTATTTCGATCACAGAATAATCTCTCGCAACGAGAGCCCTGGTTTGGTAAAAACGCTTGATTTAGTGTTGGGGATGGAGTCTTCTATTCTCATCCTTGATGATAATGACCAAGTATGGCCAAATCATGAGCCGAACTTGATCTTGATGAAAGAGTTCTTGTTTACAGGGAAGAAAACAGACGAAAACGAGATGAACACTCCATTGAATGACATTCTTAAAGCTCTGTCTGCAATTCATACAGCCTTCTTCGATGACAATATTCAAGCCATGTTTCGTGACAGAGATGTTAGGGAGTTGGCAGCATCAGTTCGTTCTACCGTGCTTAAAGGATGTAATTTATACGTGAGCAATGTCAAGTATGCTGGAATATTGCGGTTGAGAGCCAAGGAATTGGGAGCCACATGCAGCAAAGAACTCAATCATTCGGTGACTCATTTGGTGTCTTGCCATAAAGGAACCGAGGATTTCAATAGGGCCGCAAGCGAGAAGAAATACTTGGTACTTCCACGATGGATAAAGGATGCTTACTTCTTTTGGAAGAGGCCAGCAGAAGAGAATTTTCCCATTAAAAAGAGCAGCAAGGCTATTTTGAAGGCAATTATAGCTTGTACTGTTTTTCTTTCTTAATGAAACCAATGCTCACTTGTGCATTTCTCTAGTTGCTTGAATGTGTTACGTTTAATGTTGATTTACTACAAGTTAAAGCCAAAATGTTTAGAAGCAAAGGAATAGACTGCCAAGGTACGACTTGTCATCCCAAATTATGGCCTGTCTTTGAGGCACATAAGACCAACTGTTCCAGAAATATAACTTCTGGTTGTTTTATACCAAAGTGAGATCACTAAACTTGGAAGTAGCAATACCAGCAATGCCTGCATTGAAGACTTATTGATTAGATTCTTCAGAGTACCACAGGTTGAACACACATATCTACTGGAAATATTATATTAATCGAAGCATCAATTATCAACTTATTAACTACGTACATTCCTATAAAGCACTAGGATGATGACACTAGGACAGAACAATCGAAGCAAAGCTCAAGTCAGTCACACATCCATTACTTCCCACAATCATCCATCACACCAGCTGATTCTGAAGTTCCTTTCCTTGTTCATAAACACTCCCCAATGAGAATGGGTGGAACTGGTGCTAAGAACAAGGTATGGAGGTTTCTATAGCAGCAAAGTGGGTATGAACAGATCATAACAAATGACAACATTGCTCCAATCATTGATCCGAAGAATGATGGGAAGAAAGTGGAATGGGAAAAATTCATAAAAATATTATATGTTTGTTCTGCAAGAAAATCCTTTTCGGTTTGTTCCAATCTTTGTAATTAATATTGACGTGTTCTCTTAAATACTTTCCTAATCATACTTTAGAAAATGACAAATGTATCATAAAATCCAGTGACTCCATATTTAATATTTCAATAACCTTATGTTATTGAATGTCCATAGACATTACTAACAAGCACATACACTTACCAAAGATTATATGTAATTAGTTACATGAAATAATAATGAATGTATTTTGAAGCTACTGATTTTATTGACCAAGGTTGTGAAGGGTTCAATTTCCTCCACAAAATCTCTCCCCCTCCAGATTGAGCCTTTTCTTCCACTGGAATCCGAGAGCCACAAGAGTGACCCATCAAACTCGTTTCTTCCATGGTTTCAGGCACTACAATGGGTCTGGTGACCAACTCCAAACTGGTTCACCTATTTTCAGCTTGTGGGTCTACTCCCAATTTGTGGTTACAAGCCTCACCAGTTAGCAGCCCTACCTTGTCAACCTCCATAAGCCCACCGTCGCCTCTTGCCAAGCTATTGCGGTCCACATGGCTTGGTGAAAACATTCCGAGCCCACATATTCGAACCCCACATCTACGTCTACAATCAGCAACAATACAATGTTCAAGTCGAAGAAGAATTACTTCCACATCTACGTATGCCCAACACAGGCCTTCTCGTTATTTTCATGCGCTTGGCCTGCCACCGCTGGGTTTTGATTTCTCTCTCTCCTATTAGGGCATTTAGGTAGCTTTTGTGTCACGGGGCGATTACTTAAGCCACTGCTCCGTGCTTCATTAGAGCACTTCGCGCGCCCAACCCCTTATCTCAGTACTAGAACCCAAGTCAGCCTCAGTGCTTCAGCACTTACTCAGTAAGCACCCAACTCCACCCGATGGCTTTAAGCCTGCAAGCAAGCTTGCATAAAAGAGAAAAGGAAGACAAGAGAATACTAGCAAAGAGAAGCTAAGCTTGTATTGAATGAATTGAATTACAATGTATTCATGGGATGATTTACACAAGGAGCATGGGTTATTTATAGGCAAGGTTCCCCACACATTTCCCTCCAAAGTTTTCAATTCAAAGTATTCCCCCCCCCAAAAGATTTCCCTCCAAAACATTGGGAGGTTCTAGAAGTTCGGTTGGGAGGGAAATTGAATTTTCCAGCAGCCCCCTTACATGGGTCTAGTGGCTGGCACCCTCTTGGGCCTCCTGGTGGGTCTGGACTGTGGCCCGTGACACCCTCCCCCACCTAAGCTGGCAGCGTCCTCGCTGCCGTGTGGAAGGCGTTAATCCAATCTTGGAACTGCCACAAATCTTCTGCAGACTTCCAACTAACTTCACTCTCGGGCAACCCTTCCATTTCACCAGGTACTGATGTTGAGGCATGTGAGCTTCCGTCGAAGTACTCTATCGGCCAGCACTTCTTCTACCTCTTTGTCGTAGCGTGCTCGAATGCCTACTGGTGCCCGTTTGCTCACCCTTCGGCTAGGGTCCTCTTTATCTGCACGGTAAGGCTTCAGCATGCTGACATGAAATACCGGATGCACCTTTGGCTTGAGCGGCAAGTCCAACTTGTATGCCACCTAGCCGATTCTCTTGATTACCCGATATGGGCCCTCGTACCTTCTAACAGGCCCTTGTGCAAGCCTTTGTTCCTCAAACAAGGTGTAGCTTCACCATCACCATGTCCCCTTCGCTGAAGTGAGCTTCCAGTCGGTTTGATCTGCCCACTTCTTTGCCCTTTTTGCAGCTGTGTGAGACACGTTCGAGCTAAGTCCCGCTGCTCTTCCCAGCCCCTAGCGGTTTTGTATGCCGCTGGTGCGACACTTGTATAGCCCACGGCAATGGCACTTGGTGTGTGGGGCGTTGTCTAATCACGATTTCGAACGGGCTTTGACCGGTGGACTCGCTGCGCTGTAGGTTATGCGAGAATTGTGCTATGTCAAGCCACTTTGGCCAGTCGGACTGCATGCCCCTCACGAAGTGCCTTAAGTAGAGCTCCAGCAATGCATTCACCCGCTCGGTTTGTCCATCCATCTGTGGGTGGTTGCTGGTGGAAAAGCACAATTCAGACCCCAACAGCTTAAATAATTCTGTCCAAATATTTCCGTGAATCGGCCATCCCGATCGCTGATGATGGTGTGCGGAAGCGCCCAGTATTTGACAATGTTCTTTAAGACAACTTGGCTGCTTCTTCCCAGGACATTCTTTGAGGCTGGTATAAAGGTGGCATATTTCGAAAATCTATCCACCACCACCATAATGCTACCGAACCCATCTGCCTTGGGCAGCCCCATGATGAAATCTATGCTTACGCTGTCCCATGGTTTTTCTAGTATTGGCAGTGGGTTGAGTAATCCCCTTGGTCGCTGCTGCTCAACCTTGTCTTGTTGGCACACCAAGCAGGTCCGCACAAGCTTTCAATGTCATCTTCCATTCTGGGCAGTAATAACTGGCGCTTACTAATGCCATCGTCCGATGCATCCCGGATGCCCTGCCCAAGGTGTCGTGGCATTCTTTCAGTAGCTGTTTCTGCAAGCCCCCATGCTGCGGAACATAGAGCCTATTGCCCTTGGTGTACACTAGCCCCTCTTTTACCCAAAACCGCCTGGTCTTGCCTACCATGGCATGCTCCAGTATGGATTGCACGGTCGGGTCGCTTGCCATGCCATCCCGAATGTGACGGTAGCAGCTCTGTGTGCACTTCACTGATGGCAGCCAATGTAGCCTTCTGCTTAAGGCGTCAGCCACGGAGTTAGCCTTGCCTGGCTATACTCCAGCTCATAATCGAACTCTGCCAAGAAGTCTTGCCAATCTGGCTTGTTTCGGGCTTAACTTCTTTTGGCTTTGAAAGTAAGATGTGGCCACATTATCAGTCCGCACTACAAATTTGGCCCCAATAAGTAGTGCCGCCATAATCGAAGCAATGCACCACTGCCGTCATCTCCTTTTCCTGAACCGTGTACCATCTCTCGGTATCGTTCAGTTTTCGGCTTTCATACGCGATTGGATGCCCATCTTGAATCAGTACCCCGCCAATGGCAAAGTCACTTGCATCCGTATGTACCTCGTACGGCAGTATATGATCCGGCAATCTCAGCACCGGTTGTTCACTCATTGCCTGTTTCAGCCGATCAAAGGCATGTTGGCTTGCGGCATTCCATTCCCACACCCGGCCTTTCTTCAGCATGTCCGTTAGTGGTGCCGCAATGCTTGAGTATCCTTTGACAAACCGGCGGTAGTAGTTGGCTAACCCAAGGAAGGATCTCAGCTCCTTTACCTTGGCAGGCGGTTCCCATTCCTGGATAGCACTTACTTTGGACGGGTCCATCCGGATTCTGCCATCCCCCACAATGTGCCCTAAGAATGGCACCTCATGCAAACCAAAGCAACATTTTTCCCTTTTCACGAATATCTCATGTTGTCTAAGGGCCTCAAAAACAAGCCGTAGGGTGTTCAACATGGTCTTGTAATGAGTGGCTATAGACAACAATATCATCAAGGTATACAACTACGAATTTGTCAAGAAAGGGTTGTAATACCTTGTTCATCAGAGTACAGAATGTTGCTGGTGCATTGGTTAATCCAAATGGCATAACCAAGAACTCGTATGCCCCATAGCGAGTCACGCAAGCCGTCTTGGATATGTCCCCGCAGCTATCCTCACCTGGTAGTACCCCGATCGTAAGTCCAACTTTGAAAACCAGCGCGCATTGCCCAGCTGATCGAACAAGTCAGCTATAAGCGGGATCGGGTACTTGTCTTGACCGTGAGCTTGTTCAAAGCTCGGTAGTCGATGCATAGCCTTAAAGACCCATCATGTTTCTTCTGAAACAATACGGGAGCTCCGAAAGGGATTTGGATGGCCTGATAAATCCAGCGTCAATAAGCTCCCCAAGCTGCTTTCTCGATTCTGCTAGCTCGGGAGGCGCCATCCGATATGGTGCCTTGACGGGCGGCTGTGCCCCTGGCACTAGCTCGATATGATGGTCCACTTCTCGTGCGGGAGGCAAGTGGCCTGGCAGCTTAGGAGGCATTACATCTTGGAATTCCTCCAGCACCTCTAGGACTTCTACCGTGCCTTGATTATATTACCGGGGGTGTCTTCTAGACTCAGCCAGCAGCAAATGTCTGTTCACTTTGCGCATGCCCTTGGCTAGCTGCATGGCAGACAATGTTTTTGTTGGCTGAGTACGTCCTCGTCTGACTGGCACTACGCATTGCCCTTTGATCCAAGATGCAAATGCAATCGTTGTGCGGCACGAGAACAGCTTGGACTCTAAGGAAGCCGATCCCACGGCTACATCATAATCATCCATCGGATGATCTCGATGTCCACAGCTCCATGCCACTGGCCAAGTTGCACATCGATCCCCTTGGCAATGCCCTTTGTGCGCACTCTCTGGAGTTCACAGTTTTTACCCAGCCGCCTGCGCTATTAGATTTGATGCCTAGGTTAGCAGCACATGTTCGGACATGAAGAGTTCAGAAACGCCCGTATCCACTAGTGCCTCCACCGATTGTCCTGCTATGATCATATCAGCATACATGAGCCCTTGGCTCGACTACTCGTCTTGCTTACTGCCTCCAGCAGCACTGAGCCCAATCGCGCTGCCTGGTCTGATTGTGGCTCCTCCTCTGAGGCTATCGCCACTAGCTTGGTGCGCTTTGGGCAATCTCGGACCCGATGTGGTCCGTCACACAAGAAGCAACCCGTCGGTTGGTCCTCATTGTTTCTGAAAAATCTCCATTTTGAGGTAGAATTACCTCTCCATTTTGATGTGGGCTTGCCCTCGCCACCATCCTTAGGCTGGTTATCTCTGTCCGCCCAGCCCTTATCTTTGTACTGCCTATTTTTATCGCACATCCCTTACCTTTATCCTTTGGCTTGGATGGCGTAGGTTTGTCCTTGTCGCTCGGAGTAATCTACCAAGCTTTCGGCCACTGCCATGGCTCGAGTGAGGTCTTGCACGCCTCGCCTTTGCAACTCTTGATTGGCCATGGTTTCGAACCATCCATGAAGGTGAAGAGGGCCTCCCTCTCCCTAGATCCTCCACTTGAAGGCCAGCTCGCTGAACTCCTCACATAGTCCCGGATCTCCCCACGTTGGACCAGCCTACGCAGCTTGCCCCTCGCCTCATCCATGGCGTATTCGGGGTAGAATTGCTGGCGTAATTCTCGCTGGAAATCTGCCACGTGAGTACCGGGGCTCCACCGAGCCTATCATCGCACCGCCTCCTCCACCAAAGCAGGCTGTATCTCCCAGATACATGGATGCCGCAATGATTCGACGGTCATCCATCACGATCCCAGTGGCTTTGAGTATTGCTCAAGCCCCCAAAGAAAGTTGTCTATTTCTTTGGCATCCCTCCGGCCTCGAAATTCTCTGGGCTTAGGCATATCTAGCCTTGCTTCCGGGGGTGCGGCAGCCTCCCGGCCACTATTGGCTCTGTCGCACGCATTTCCTCCTTCAATACATCTAGCTCACGCTCCAACGCTTCCATCTCTCTTGCCAGTTGGGCATTTCGTTCCATGGCCGTCTCAAAGGTTTCCCCATCATCAATTGGACTTCTCCTTTGAGTTCCTCATCACGAGCATGAAGCTCTTCCATGTGTTCTTCCTGCACATCAAGGCGGTCACGCGACTCGCCCACAGTCACTTCCATCTTTGATAGCCTCTCATCAAAATCAAGGATGGGGTCTCGTGAGGAAGACTTCGCCTTTCGACCAGCACGTGTCTCTCTGACCTCGATAGTTTCCTCGGCATGCTTGATCCGCTAGTAGTCATTCCTTCCTTTCAATCACCTCCTGCTTGTTTGGGAATTTAGTCGAGCACTTGGGTCACAAAACCTTCCCTTTGGTCTGGGAATTTTGTCGAACACCTGGATCGCAAACTGCTCTAGGAATTTCGTCGAGCACCTGGATCGCAATGGCTCTGCGGAATTTCGTCGAGCACTTGGATCGCAATGGCTCTTATACCAACTGTCACGGGGCGATTCTTAAGACCACTCTCCGTGCGGCCTTGGGCTCAACCCTTATCTCGGTACTAGAACCCAAGTCAGCCTCAGTGCTTCAGCACTTACTCAGCAAGCACCCAACTCCCACCCGATGGCTTTAAGCCTGCAAGCAAGCTTGCATAAAAGAGAAAGGAAGCAGAGAAATACTAGCAAAGAGAAGCTAAGCTTGTAATGAATGAATTGAATTACAATGTATTCAATGGGATGATTTACACAAGGAGCATGGGGTATTTATAGCCAAGGTTCCTCACACATTTCCCTCCAAAGTTTTCAATTCAAAGTATTCCCCCCTCCAAAAGATTTCCCTCCAAAACATTTGGGAGGTTCTAGAAGTTCGGTTGGGAGGAAAAATTTGAATTTTCCAGCAGCCCCCCTTACATGGGTCTAGTGGGCTGGCACCCTCTTGGGCCTCCTGGTGGGTCTGGACTGTGGCCCGTGACATTTGGACCTTGTTCGCTCGACATTGCCTAGGTTCTCTGACGCCGTTGCCTTCCCATTGTTCGAATTTGTTGAGGAGGTTGGTGTCGCGATCCTGCCGAAGTTATGAATCTTGATGGAAGATGTCATTGTCTCGGAAAATAGTTATAAATCTTATATTGATTATATATTAAAATTAGACTGAATATTTAAGAATTTTTACTATCTTCAATTTGTGAGTTTTTTTCATGGACATAAAATCATGAACTCAATGAATCGAAAACAAACAATGCTTTGTAAGTTAATGTGTATCGTGATAGTTGGTATCAAAATCCTAATGTGTCTTTGTTGAAGTGAAGAAGCTATCATAGTCTTATAGAGATGCTATAAATCTCACATATATTATGTATTAGAGTGAAACTAAATATATAAAGATTTACACTATCTCACATCTATTGTGTATTAGAATAAGACTAGATATATAAAGATTTACACTTTCTTTAACTTGTAAGTCTCCTTTTATGGGGACAAAACCTTGAGATCAAAATAGATAATCTTTTGTAGGTTGTTGTGTATTACGCCAGTTTGTATCAAAGTCTTAATGAATTTTTGTTGAAGTGGGGAGAATGTCCTAATCTCACAAAAAAATTATAAATCTCACATTGATTATGTACTAAAATGAAATTGAAAATTTAAATATTTACACCACCTTTAATTTGTTATAGGTTAATATCGATGTGTAATAAAGTAATACTAAGCATTTAAAAATTTATATTATTTTTAACTTTTTATAAATTCTTGTGAATTATATAAAAAAGTCATGAATCTCACATAAATTGAATTCAAATTATCTTTAATTTGTTATAGATTGGTGTGAATTATGACACTTAGGCATTAACGTCTCTTTTCTTTTCGGTGTCACTCACACTCCAAGGAATGTGACAAACTTTCCTCTTCAAGCAATTTCCCACGGTCAATAAACTCCCAATAAATGGTTTGTTAGTGGCTTTTACCATTAAATAACTTAATACTACATAATTATTGAGCTAGGGATAGATTCTCTTCCTAAAGTTTAAAGTCATGAAAAGTTTGTAGCCTCATACCATCTCTTTGGGACCGAACACATGCACCTCTCAGACTCAGACAAACCAAACCTCAACTTTTCTTTCACATTCCCATTGTTGCCCTTAATATGGGGTTGGCCTTCCACCCATGTGATTACCTGCCACGTGTCTTCCTGTTCCGAAATCTATGCAAGTCCTCGGGTACGTGATGCCTCTTAGCCCACAACGTGTCATGTCCCAAAAGACCAAAGTAGCTACGCATCAATAAAGTCAAATAAACAAGACCCAGACTGGGTAGTGTTGAGGGTGAGAAGGAGGTGTAGGTTCTTCACACGTGGGCCAATGACAATGGCGTTTTAGATGGAGGACTCTCAACCACTAATCTATTCCGATAATTGTCAGCCACAAGTTTACAACAGCTTGGCTTTCCTGACAGGAAAAAATGTAAACAACACTCAAAATCTTTTCTTTGCTTTCTGTCAATCCACATTTCTCTTTCATTGCAACTTGCTCACTAAAAATTAAAATGAAAAGAAAAATGCTATTAAAAAACAAATGAAATGAAAAGGCTGCAAATACCACAGCCGCCTTTGTTTTCTGACAGCTGAAAACGAAAAAAAAAAGGAAATCGATGCTCTTAGGCTTAGCTTCTGAATTCAAATAGAACCCATCAGAGTTTTCAACCATTTCTATCTGTTTTCTGCATCTAGACTGCTTTGTTTTTGTGATTAAGGAACTGGGTTGTCTTCATTTGCTCAGCTAGCTCACTGCAAGGTTTGGTTCCATTAAATTTCTTCTTCTTTTTCTTTTGTTGGCTGTTATGTTTCTAACCATGTTAGTAATAAGTTTGATAGGGAAAAAATAGTTTTTTGGTGGGGGAAAGATGTGAAATCTTTTATAGTGTATGCAATCTACATAAGAACTTTGGTTAATCTTTGTTGGAACTTTTTAAGTTTATTTAATTAAAAATAAGAACTTTGGTTTATCTTGAAAATTCTTCTCTAGGGTATGTGTTAAAATAAGGACTTTAGTTCATCTTTGTTGGAAGATTGTGAACTTTTTTAAGAGGGTATGTGTTATAAGGATTTTCAGTTCTGCTTAGTTGGAAAGTTTTGAACTTTTTGGGGAGTATGTATCAGAAAATAAGGGCTTGAGTTCATCTTAATAATTTTTTGTTGTTTTTTTTATTCATGATTTTGTTTGGCTGGTGCCCAAAAAGAAAGGTAGGAATAGTGTGATTATATAATTAAGCTTATATATATATTTTTTATTTTCAGTGAAATATTTTATTGTGGATAGTTTCAAAGCTGATGTTAAACTGAGAAAATTGAACTTTTGGTCTAGTTGAAGTAAGTTGTGCAGGCTTTAAAAAACAATTTGTTTCTAAGTTGAAAATGTTGAAGGATTTACTTATTTAGCAATAGTTAAGGCTCCCGTTGTACTAGGATATAGTGTTCTAGTAGGTGAAATGAGTCTTCAAATTATTATTAATATATTTCTGGGGGTAGGGGTTGATTTTTTATTTTGAGTTTAGCTCATAGAGCACCTCCTTATAGATGGAGCACTCATTTTTTCATTTTAGAATATATTGATTAGAGAGTTCAGGGAAAGGAACTAAACGATCAAATTTAAGACATTTTCTGAGTTCATTTCTGGATTTCTCTTTGTTTTCTACTGCTTTGTAACATCTTGTTCTTTTGTTCAGATCAAAGCACAGCACATGGACTGGTATTTTGGTAATGGTATTGAGGATCTTGTTGTCCCCAAGGATCAAGAATTAGCAGATAGGCTTCCTTCACCAGAAAGTTGGTCAAAATGGGAATACTCTGCTCCAAGAAATTTTGAGTCATCTAACAAACGCTTCGTTGTGGATGAAAACTTGACTTGTGAAGAACTAAAGTTCAATGGTAGATTTTGCAACGGCACTGAATTCGAAACATCAGCTGATGCTAAGGATCCCTCTAGCTTTCCAAGTGTATGTGGAGGATTATTAGAGGAGTCTTTCAATCAGGCTCCACTTTCATATCCCCAGCCAGATTATGAGCTTGATGATTTTTCCAGATTCCAGCAGATGGATGACATATTCTTGTACAAGCGTAACTTCTGGGATTAAGATGCTTGGTTTTTTGCCTGTAGGAAATTAAGTAGTTTTGAGAATGCTTTAGCCTGTAATGTCGAAAAACAGCATGCTCAGACATCCCATGGAAATTGAAGGGTTCAAAAGTATTGGTCAATTGTTCTATCTGAACTATTTGTTCATCATAGAAATTGGTAGCCGCCATCATCAGTGGTTATAACAAAGATATGAGATTCTCTCTTCTAGGTGATCTTGAGGGATCACTCATGGTGGTGTTGCCTGTTTTCTTCTATGTGGACCTCTTTTATACTGGTTTTGTACATTAAAGTGTTTTATAACATAATTTAGCCATTCAGTATTCCATGGGATGATAAAATTTGCTATGTCATTTTGATGTTTAACCTTTCAGCTGAAATGGTAGTATTTTCTTGTTTTCTGGTCTTCACTTCTTTTGGTTTCTACATGTTGCAGGAGTCCCTTACTGGAAGATCTGCTTGGGAGTGAAGATCTTCAGAAATCATTTTGCTTTTCTCCTGAAAATCATTGTGGGAGAATGCCGGCTGATTATCTTCCGACAGATGTAAGTTTGGATTCTCAAAGTATTTCAAAAAATGATCATGGTATGGGAAGCACTAAGTATCTCAAAACTCATGCATTTTCCCCATTGATGACTTTGGAGAAAGAAATATCTGCTTTACGTTTTAAACCACGCAAGTCGGGGCTCAAGAATAGCCCATCCGTAAAGGTGAGATCTTCCACCTGTCACTTTACTGGGTAAGAAAACATGTCTTTAATACTAGCATCCTGCCAAATTTATATTAGAGTACTTGGCTCTTAAGCTCAAGTTTTGGAATCATTCCTGCATGATGCACGTCACCTATGATCATTTCTATTTACATTCTTGCAAGTATGCCTTTTTTACTTGGGGTATTTTTCAGACAACTATTTTTGCAAAACTTATGCTTAAGTCGGTGACATGAAGACACAGGGTGGAAGATTGCCCTGCCTCTATACGGATCATGCATAGAGAAAGAGTATTAGCCTTTAAAATTTGGGGAAAGCAACAAAGGGAAGAGTGAAAGGAAATATCTGAAATGGAAAAATATGCTGTGAATATAAGATTATTAATTTTTCTGTAAGTGTTGAATGAACAATATTTCCTTTTCCCCATTTGTTTTTTGATATGGTGAATGGAGGCACTTTTTTGCTTTTAGGATGGCTAGTGTCTTATGTTTTAACAGCTTTTACCAGCTTTACTGCTATTCACCATTCTAGAGATGACAAGGAAATGGTATATATTTACTTTTTATTCTAATATAGATTGAGGAGTACCATGTTATGATTTCAAGTCTCAACTAATTTTTTAAGAGCCAATCTGAAGCTGAATTTTTTCTGGAAAAATATTTGTATTTCCAATAGTATTTGCAAATATTCTAAATGGAGAGCTGTCCTTGTTTCGTTTTCTGAGCTGGTGCCTTCAAACTGACTCAGAAAGAACAAGTTTCAGAAATTCTTCACAAATGATGAAACTTCTTTTGTAGCCTATAAATCTCTGCTAGGAAGTCCTGTTCCAGCCACCCACTTAGCAACTATATGGCATAAAAACCAGACCGGTTCAAAGCCTTGTCAAATTTATCACCATAGGAGACTCTTCAGTTGCCAATCATTCTTTAAAGAATCCTTCATAAGAATCTGTTACCTAAGCATTCTATCATTACTTTTTGGTGCAGGCATTAGTGCTTCAAACTAGCTAACTTTTCTTATTAGTGATGACATTAACCCCATTGATGGTAGCATTCATTCTCGAGGATGCAGAAAGCCTAAAGATGTAACAATCATAGCTAAAGGAAGCTCTTGTCAATTGCTAATGTCATTTTTACTGACTTTCAAACTTTATAGTCTTAGCTTTAAGAATTTCTTACCTTCAGCTGTCACTAGGAACAGAACTGGAGACATATCTCTCAGTGAGCTTGTTTCTAACAAGAGTAGCATATATTTATCTAAGTCTTTTATTCCTAAAACCTCTTTTCTTTTATATTATTGGAGATGTTTCAGCCATTTTTATACAAAGCAGTCCTTGGCCACAAAAGGTGGACTCATTATCTGCTGAACATTAGAAGACTGCATACAACCCAACTGCTCATTATCAGATTGTTGTATTCCTTTATCATGGGATATACTTTCTAAGCTCAATGTCAGTTTTTGATTCTTTGTTTTTGGAAGTGCTTTTGTCAATTAAAGTCTTGAAAGGAATCCCATGCAGCTTTGAAAAATCAGTGGAAATACTTGGCTTCTAAGCTCATCTGAGCCTATCTGCCACACATACTTTACACCAGCCTATGCTTATATTTAAAAATTTAATGTAGCTTCTGAGGTTATAAGATCAACTAATCAACGTAATTTTTGCATAAGGCACCACATGCCAAAATCTTGGCCCCTCCTGAACAGAACAGTGAAAATGGATTTGTATCTGAGGGAATATCACTTGAAGAATCTGTTTTGCTGGAGCTTGAAATGGTGACAGCTCAGGTGAACAACTAAAATAACTATTTACATTGTGTCATCAGTGAATAGCATAAGAGCATTTGCTTACTGAAATTCTGTATTTCAATTTGTTCAGTTGTCTAATAAGACTCGAATTTGCTTTCGAGATGCATTCTACCGTCTTGCCAAGAACTCAAAACAGAATCCTGTAGCAATAAACCAACACGGAAATGTCTGTGTGAGAACTCATTCTCCAATGTGGATAGTCTCTGAGGAGAAAATGAGGTTAAATTTTATTACAATTTGCAGCACTTTTACTCTATGTATTTCTCTTATATTTGAATCACTTCTATTGTTTTCTAGTTTCTTTCCTACAAATTAAAGCAAAATGTTTGGGAGCAAGGGAATAAAGTGCCAAAGATACTACTTTTAAGGCCAAAGTAGCCTGCCTTTGGGGCACTTCATCCAGAAAATTGCATTGTCTGCAGAAAATCGTTTTCCAGAAACAGCTCTTATAATTTTCTGTATGGTTTTCGTAACATCTGAAGAGTCTGATACCAGAAACAGTCTAGAAGTTCAGACTGCTTTGTTTTTAGAGTAAATATCTTGTAGCTTCTTCTGGTAAACTACATGAATCTGTTTTAGATTTATGTTACTGATTCAAATGTGTAACTGTGCCATGTCTTTGCCCATGTTTTAATCTTTCTTGATCAGAAGATAATTTTGATATCCAGGTCTGGAAGAAAAGAAACAACCGAATCAGAGACCAACACCATTGATCGAGCTATTGCTAACCTCACCTTCAATATGATGGAAACTAATGTTCGAGATTTTCCTATTGCGACACCAGCCAAGTCTAAGCAACATGCCATCAGAGTGACAGGACAGATAAACAATAGCTCAAGTCAATCAGGGATCCATTATTTCCCGCAATCCTCTATTGCCTCAACTGATGCTGAGGTTCCTTTCCTTGTTTAGAAATGCTCCCAAATGAGAATGGCTGGACGTGAATAGGCCTCAAGGAACTGATTCTGAGAACAAGGGTGTAGAAGTTCTTATAGCGTCAAAGTCGGTACGAACAGATAACTGGATTGCTGGAAATCACTGGTTAGAAGAATGATGATGGTAAGGGGAAGTGGGAAAGGGAAAGATTGACAAAGTTATCTATGTTTGTTAAGCAAAGAAGATTCTTTTAGGTGTGTTCCAATCTTTGTATATAATAGCAGTTCAAAGCACTGGTGGCTTTGTACCCTCCACTTGATACAATACTGTTTATGTTCAGCTCAGTTTTGATTAGCATTTCAGAGAAATTGATTCAAATTTCCAGGTGACAAGTTCATCTGCATTCTTCCTTTGCCATGCAAATCTCTTTGATGCAATTGTCATGCTAGGTTTTGCAAAAGTAGAACCATACATAAGTAATATGGTTCAATAATTATTGAAATAATCATGTGATAATTGAAGTGTTCAAGGGTCGAGTTACTTATTTAGGTCTGAGACCAATAATTTTGGTTAAATTATTATATTAATAATTGTATATTTTAATTTAGTTTTAAGTCAAACACAGTTAATAAAATATAATTTTATTAATATAAAAAATACTATTTTTATTTATTTTATAATAAAATAATAACTAAATGGATAAGTCAAGTCGAATGTGAACTGGACTTTTAAAAGGGGAAGCCCGATGAGGGCAACATGATTGTGTAACCCTACTTGTGTTGTGGAGTTAGTGCATAAAAATAATAATTTTACAAAATAATTATATTTTTATAAATATAAAAAAAACTTCTTTTTCTTATTTCTCACATTTGGCTTTAAAAATTAAATTAAAAATTGTGAACCGATTAAATATTATTCCAGTGCTTTTAAAACTATTTTTAATAGCAACTTAATGGGAAGTCAAATTTCATATAAGTGCATCACACAATATTTTTGATAGGAGTATCTTAGTATTATTATTATTATTAGAAAATTACTCAAGATAATCTTCAAAAAAAAAAAGAAAATTATTCAAGATAATAAGAAATTAAGAAAAAAAGGGAAATATAATTCAATTAAAAAGAAACAAATTAGGGAAGTATTTAATTATTGAAAAAAATCATTGTCACAAAAAATTAATATTTTAATATACAATTGAGTATGTACAAAATCAAATATCTAAGACATGATCTTAGTCGTAGATTAAGTTGACCATCTTACTGTTATTAATTAAACAAAAAGTCTTTGACACGATGGACGGCTGTAATTGTCCGAATCAAGAAATTCCAGTTTAAGGAAACATCAAGTAAGTAATTCAGAATTTTATTATATAGATACTTCCAAGCACGTTGGACAGTACAAAACTGATTACTATTTGTTTAAATTTTTATCTTCCAATTAAATTAACAATTAATATAAGTATTAAGAATTTTGATATAAAAAGTTTCGATTCTAAATAGTTAGTTTTTGCGTAAAAAAAAATCAATTGTATTCGTGCATTTGATTCAATAATCGATACGAAATTTTCTTTTATTTTATCTTCTAGATGTTAGCGTCACTCAAACAACTTTTATGAATATCAAAATTTTATACATACCATTATCAAAAGAAAAAATTACAATTGAAAAATTGTCAACATGAATCAAACGATTGAACTTTTAAATCTTACAAACGGATTCGAATAATTGACATTTATATATATTAAATTATAAATAATTAAAATAACTAAATTTCAGTATTAAAGCGTTTCGTATTTACATTTTGGTTTCCTTTTTCTATAAATAAAGTATATGTTCCATTGTTGTAACTTGGGCTAGCTAGTGATGTAGGATCGATTTAGATAGAGATATTTGGTTCCAACTATAAAGGGTTCCATTCACACAACTAAATAACTTTCTCTAGAAAATATTTGGAATCACTTGCATAGCTTTACAGTAAATATACGATAATCAATTATAATTCTAATTAAATAATTTTTATAATTATTTAACAGTATATCACGGATTTTATGATAACTGAAAACCTCCTCAAATGGTTGCGAAAACATCTTAAACAAATCAACTAATAAAAAGCTATATTTAGTTAACTAAACTAATAAGTCAGTAGTAATATGATATTTAAATGCAAAAAAAAAAAAAAAAAAAAGGGAAAGCAGTCATAAGAACACATCAACGTGCATGCCATAAACTACCTCATATTTATATGCCTGCAACAACACCATAGAGCCTTGCCTAGCTATAGCTGCCTAAGTCCTAGCCACCTTAATCACAAAGCCTCCGTCCATGGCAGCTCAAAGTATTCCATCTCCTCCACCACATCAGTCTCAATCTTCAACGCCTACTTTGGCGAGCATGCAATCGGAATCCCGGCCAGTGATTTCCCTCCAACAACCATCAAGTAAGAAAGGGTCGTCGAAATCCTCCAAGTTGTTTAGAAGGTTTCGCTCCGTTTTCCGATCATTTCCAATCATAACCCCGATGTGTAAGATTCCGGTCACGCTCCATGGTAACCGTCCACAAGACAACCATATCCATGGAGGGACTCGGATGACTGGAACCTTATTTGGGTACCGTAAAGCTAGGGTTAACCTTGCCATCCAAGAGAACCCTAGGTGCCTCCCTATTCTAGTACTTGAGCTTGCGATAACAACAGGAAAGCTCCTCCAGGACATGGGGTTGGGGCTCGTTAGGATTGCTCTGGAATGTGAAAAGCGTCCAGCAGAGAAGACCAAGATCCTGGATGAGCCAATATGGACATTATTTTGTAATGGTAAGAAATCAGGCTATGCCGTAAAGAGGGAACCGACAGATGAAGATTTAATGGTGATGCAAACGTTGCATCCTGTTTCGATGGGAGCTGGCGTGATACCAAGCGAGGCTACGGAGAATCCTGATGGAGAGTTGACATACATGCGTGCAAATTTCGAACGGGTTATCAATTCTAGAGATTCAGAAACTTATTACATGATGAATCCGGATGGTAACTCTGGCCCTGAACTCAGCATATTCTTTGTCAGGATTGGATGAACAAGTTAGAAATTAGTTCAACAATTCAAGACCTTGGGCTTCCAAACGAAGGTTAAATCAGCTTTGTCTATGCTAATGGAGGTTGATTTGATCAAACTCAACATTTACAATTCAAGGGTGCATGAGGAAGGGCATTAAGTTCCGGATATGCGGAGTATTCCTATGTGAAAATGTTGCTGGTGAAGGCTATTTTAAGGAGTTGAAGAGCAAGAGCCATGGAGGAATAATGATTTTAAGAGGCAAATTGACTCTTTGTAGCCATCAATGAGAGAATTATGTTTGTTTGAGTTAGGCCATTAGTTTTTGCTAGTGAATCATAGAATGCATTTACTCTAGAAATGTTCTTCTTTGTACCATTTTGTTTCTTTATATTCATTATAGTGAATATGGAGGAAAGGGGAGGAAAGGAAAATTTTCTCTTCAACATTTTATTTTCTTTTTCAGAGTCATCGAATCTTGGGAGTTGAAAATTAAATTGAACAAGAATTAAATGACTCAAAGTTGATTTTTCAATATAAAATTATAACTTATAATCGATGACTCAAAGCCATTTATTATCTCAATGGTAACCAGTAAGTATGTGTATCTCATTTTTAAAGAGTCAATCGTCCTTTTCTCGATTACAACATATTTTCTTCAAGGTTTTAAAGGATCATAATCTGCTGAAGATATATGCCCTTCATTCCAAAATCTTGTCTAAAACATGTTTGCCATTAATGAATTAGAGAGAAGATAAACAATAAAACAAAATTTGTTACTAACAGTCTTTGAATCCGTCAAGCTAAACCACACATCCACTTTCTAGTTTGCAAATGGGAAAAAAAGGTGTCATTTCGTTGAAACCTGAAGGTGTTTTATATCTTTTTAAAATTTTCTCTTTTTTCATAATTTTGGGCCCATTTGAGAGGAGATTTGAACTTCGACTGCTTATTTGTGGGTTGCATTAAAAATAAATAGGTGTTTGTTTTATAATTTAAATAGAGGTTAAAAGAAAAAAAATTGAACTAGTTGTTTGTACACCCACTACTTGGGTGAATAAGAAATGATTTTAGCGATAGTATTTAAAAAAAAACTCATGAACTATTTAAGAAATTTAAATAAGTTTTGATACTTTTATTGTGTTCAATCAAGTTTTTATACTTTTATTTTGTGCCAAATAAGCCCTTGTTATGACTAACAGTTGATTAATTATTCTTAGTAATTTCACTTATTATTTAATGTCACATATGGTGTTGACGTACGTAGCATGTTGACATGGCACAATTATGTGACATGATGACATGATTAGCATTATAAATGCATAAAATGACAAATGACGTTTTGACTAATGAAAGTTAGTCAATTGTTAGTCATGAGGACTTATTTGATTTAAAATAAAAATATATGGACTTGATTAAATGTAATAGAAAAATAAATATTTATTTAAAATTTTTTAAATAATTTAAGAGCTTTTTAGTTAAAACATTGTGCCATAATTTTATAATTTTAATAAAAGTTAATAGAAATAAAAAGAAAATTGTGAGAAATGGTCAATCTCATAAGGTGATTCAAAAATAGCTCTTAATATAAAGTTAACTGTTGTTACTTAAATTTTGCCATGACTTGACAAAAATGATTTTGAAGTCATTTTAGACAAATTAAATGGTTCCAATTTTTCTCTCCTACCATTCATCTACTGTGCTCCCTATTTTTGTTTCTCACCATCTAGCTCTTTTTAATTTTACCACCATCACCATCTCTTTCTGTCTATCTCTCATCATCTTGCCATATCGTCGTCAATCTACAGACCAAAAAGTAAAACATGATAGGTAACAACATGTTCTTGAGTTTATTGGTTTACATTCACAAAACCCTTTCTTTGTTTATCTCTTATCATCTTGTTATATCATCGTCGATTTACAAACCAAAGAGTATGGTATGGTGAGTAACAACATATTCTTGGGTTTATTGGTGTTGAGTTTTTCAGTGATTCAACTTTTGGTAGAACTTGCCTTGGCATGTAACAAAGTGATTCATATCTTGGCGTGTAACATCAATATGAAGAAGGAAGTTTTGAACATCAGTATGAAGAAGGAAGTTTTGAACATCAGTATGAAGAAGGAAGTTTTGGCGTATAGTATCTAGTGCTGAAGCTTTGGCCTTAGCATATCTGGTGCTGAAGTTTTAGTGTGTAACATCTGTTTAGGCTTGCAATGTCGTTTGTTTTTCTTTTTTGTTATTTTTAGCTCATGTAGAGTACAATAAACTAAGTTTTTGGTTATGCACTCCACCAACATTTTGGGATTTTTTGTTTTTTGAGGGTACATCTACGGATTAGTAGTTTTTGATATTTTGTAATTATATATATCTCTAAAAAAATCTAAATGAAGGTGAGAGAAAGTTTTTCCTTTAAAATCCCTTACTTGTTCATCTTCTTCTTTTTTTTTTTGAAAATTTTCAAAGTTTTTATTTTTCGGAAAAATTTTCTTGAAAAATCAACAATTGTTTTACATTCATAAAACCTAAAAGTTGATGGGTTGAAGGTATAAGTGAAATGAAATCTGTAAATTAGAATACTGCCTAGAGTTGTTACATGTCATGTTTGTATGTAACAACTCTAATGCACTTGGTGTATAACAAATTTATTGAATATGGCATAGCATGTAACAACATGCTTTTGTACATGTCTGCATATAACAACATTTTATTTTTCAAAATAGCGTGTAATAAAATTTTTTGGAATATGAAGTATAACAACAACATTTTTTAAACATGAGGTGTGACTTGCTCTTTTGTATTTCACTAGAATATAAACTCTTGGAGTTAAACAACGTGTAACAATTTTTTTTCAACATAGTGTGTAACAACATTTTTTTGAACATGGTATGTAATAACAACATTTTTTAACATGGCGTGTAACTTAGTCTCTATCTTTGTATTTTACTAGACATAAACTTTTAAAGTTAAACATCTTCATGATATAGATAAAGTTGAAAATCAAAAAAGAATTTGACATAGAAAAAAGGATGTATTGAAAAGTTATTCAACATCAACCTCACAACTAGGATGAAATGGATTTGGATAAAATATATTATCAAAAGCCTCCAAATTTGGATAATTAACTTTTGGGGTTATTTTATTTGTTACATTTCTTGTAATCATAAAAAAAAATGGTGTGTAACAACTTTTTCTTTTCAACATGGAGTGTAACTCTCCTTTTCCTCCTCACTTATCCTGGCAATGAAAATAATCAGACCTGCCCAAGTCCAGTCCACTTACAGACCCTATAGTACAACCCTTAATCAACGCACAGAAGAGAGAGCCCTTTCATGCATAACCTTTCAATTTTTGCATCCATTTCTCACTTCTCCTATCCTTCTCACCAACATCCTTACAAAAACAACCTAGCTCACCACAAATAAGGATGAAAAAAAAAAACACTTGTCCCCAACCTTCTCTCGAAGGAACCTGTAATGACACTCATCTCTCATACATTAAGGACTCATCAAATTTGGCTCATAATAGAAGAAAATAAAGGCAACCATATAGATTCTTTCCTTTCTTATCTTTTGATCATCTTTCATCTTCCAATTTTTCTTTGTTTATTTTCCCTTTTCATTTTTCTATTTTTATTTCTTTCCTTACTTTTTCTTCTTTTTCTTTTCTTTTTTCTTTTACCTTCAACTTGGTTCCTTCAGTTGTCATCTTTCCCTTGATCATTTGTTGTGAGAGATTAAAGCTATAGATGGAAAGCTTAAGACAAAGGTTAATGGTTAGTGTTAATAATGCAAATGATGGTGCAACACTCATTATAGGCTAAAAACTTTTAGAGGAAATTGTGAGAAAAAGGCCTTGGCATAATGTGATTTCAAAAATAACCACTCATATAAAGTTATCTATTTCTAGCCACTAAAAAGCATGAGTAGACCAAAATGCCTTTAAAAACATTGTGCCAAATTAAGTTCCCGATATCTCCCTTCCGCTAGAGAGAAAATAAAAATAAATGCTCAGTAGTTTGAGCTCGCTCATCTTTCTCCCTCAACTCTCTGAACTATGTCAACTTTGTCAACTCTCTGTTAAGCACCATCGTCATCAGCTCTTTTAACTCTTTCAACTGTATGAGCTCTGTCAACTTTATGTTGAGCACCATTGTTATCGTGCTATGGTCTATCTCTCGGCATCTAGCCATATTGTCGTCTATAAACAGACCCTATAGTAGAGATAACATCAAGGTATGTTATTGGGTTTATTGCTGCAACACATAAATTTTTGAAAATTTTTGTGTAAATTAGAACATGAATTAGAAATATTGTCCAGAGTTGTTACACGTCATGCATCTAGAAAACAGATAACGTGTAAAAATTATACTAAAATAGCATGTGTTAGCACATGGTGTGTAACATGTTGTGAACATAACGTGTAACAATTTTGAACTTGTGTGTAACAATTTTTAAACTTACGTGTAACATTTTTGAACAGGGCATGTAACAATTTTTGAACTTGCATGTAACATTTTTAAACATGACATGTATCATTTTTTGAACATAACGTGTAACATTTTTAAAAAATGGTGTGTAACATAATTGAAAAATGATGTGTAACAATATGATTGAGAAATTTAGAACACGGTATGTAATGTGTAAAATGATTGATAAATTTTATGTTTTTAAAATTTTAGTGGGATTCCAATTGTGCAACTTGTGATAAGACATGGTGGTCAGTGGGTGGATGGCATTTACAAGGGTAGTGAGTCACGAATGCGGGGGTTAGGAGTGATTTATCGTTTGAGGGCTTAATGAAGCTGGTTGAAAAAGTTGTTGGGGTAAACTCATAAATGGACAAGATTGAGTGACATGCATTGATCAGTACACCTGCAGAGCTATTACGTCGAATTATCAAACACGATGAGGATATTGCATTAGTTTTGCTAGAATAGAGGAATGTTTCGGCTATGTATGTCAGCATTAAGGGATGCCAAACAAATGTTATGTTACGTGAAGAAGCTGAACAACATGGAATCAACTCAATCAAAATGAGATTTACAATGCTTCACATATACCACAAAATTTGGTCCATAACCCATAATAATGGCAATTGACATATGCACAATAGTTTGTGCAGCCTGATAGACACATGACATTCATAAAACAGTTAGCTACACAATTCCAATTATGATGTGCATCGAACTAATTACTTGCTTCTATCCAACCAATGCAACGATTGAGTGAAATTGTAGAGGCTATAATAGAATTTTCAAATGAGAATATGACACTTAAGGATAACACTGCGATGTTGGAGGGTAG